TCATAATTACACTCACAATTGTACCATAGATCCGCCGTTCCTCAGACAAATCGTTAATATCTTCCGGGAATGCAACCGAAGCTTTCATCAGATCCACCTTTTCAATTGCTTTTACCTTGTCCTCTTCAAGCATCCAGTCAACGGTGGCAAAATTATCCTTGAAGGCCTGTCGGATTTCACTGATCATTCCTATCACCTGGTTAAAGGGGAATTAACGTGACGTATTTTGAGAGTAAACTAACAGGCCAGTTAATGAGAATGGAAGACGGAACTACTCAACCGGGAATTTCATGAATGTTTGGCTTTTAGAATATAGTTCTTATTTAATGGTGTTGGAACTCGGTAGAATTAAGAAATAGATAAACAAACTGAGCGTATTAGGTTGGTCAGTGAGAAAAGCGCAATTTCAGCTATTGTTACTATTACAAACATGCATTTCGAGAGCATGTAGGAGTCGTGTAGTGTTTTATATATTTTTGCCTTCAGCCTGCTTTAGTAGAGATGATAATTATTTCTGACGGATCGTCGTGAATGAGTAGGAGAAGACAAAATTACAGTAAACATCTTTGATGATAATAAAGCATATTGACGGCCATTCAAAAGTTTGGACTCCACATCTTTGGATTAGTTTTTCTTTAAACTTACCAAGGGAACTAAAATTTTGGCCATGATTCGTGCAGGTGAGCACCATTTCCCAGACTGACGTTATAATTCTGGTTATAACACAATCGTCGCCCGCTTAATCCTCAGTCACATTGCCATCTGAACTCCATAACATAGAACGATTAACAAAACTACATTGGAGGACCTCTGTGATGAAACATCCAGAAATATGAAAAACAATTTGTTTTGTATTTCTGAAGGTACTAACCAATGTGATTTTTTAGTGAGACATATTGTGATGGTTGTTCCAGCGAAGGGTAGTCCAGGAAAATATTAGATATATTCCAGTTTGGTTGTTAGAGGACCGATTCTGATGATTAGTGACGGCATGAATATGTTCTTCAATAACTAATAATTGATAGCACGAACAACGTTTTAAAGAAGTTACAGTGGACAAAACAGAAGTGAACAAAAAGTGAATATTTACCGTTCCAGACTTAGTGAACCTTACAAAATGCACGGTTAGGAGATGAGATCGTTTGATACTGGTTATGTTATTGTTTGCCTAATTCGCCTGAAGTTCATCCTCTTGGTTACAACAAGCTTAACCCTATTGTTTTACCTTTCCGACTGGCAATCTAAGCTGTAGAATATTGTGCACCTTATGAAGGCTCTAAAATATCTTCTAGTAATCAATTGCTGCAACGCACACTTAGTGTTGGTTACGTTACTGCCAGCCAAAATATGCACACGTAAATCAAACTTTCAACTTACGGCGTCTTTCTTTTTCTGATTGAATTTCTCTTTGATGTAAACGCGACTGACAACAGAACTAAATGAGGACTGTGTTTCTGTCACGCAGGATAGCCAACGAGGAGGTTCTGATTGTAAACCTGTAATCGTTAAGCAGTCCAGATGGTTACTAAGAAAATGTAAACGATAAGCGGGACTGCTAATGAATGAATGAAAAACACTGTCTAGTGTTTGGATGCAGTTTAGTTGATATTAAGCATCTTAAGATGAACGTACTCTAAGTGTTAGATGAGACTCAATTGTGAAAAGTCAGAGCTTCGACCGGATTCGAACCAGCAATAGAACCACCATGCCTCGACGTGACAAGCGCTCTACCAGCTGAGCTACGAAACCATGTTAGATCAGAATTGGGAAACGATGTAATTTTTGAGGGTTCGAATAACTACATTTGAAACTGACAGGTCACTGTTCGGTCAATTGGAATGTCTTGATAGACAAATCCCCACATCTTCAGTACCTTCATCCGTACACATTCCTTAATAACCGTGCTGAAGCTGTCATGTGTGCAATCAGGTCAATTATCTGTCTAACGTGGTATCCAATATGTAACTTGTCCCGACGCGGAGACCCCCTTGACCCGCATTTCAAAGGCTAGGGTGAACTATAAAAACAGCCATGTTTAGTTAATCAATGTCCAGTCCAGTCTAGTAAAACTTCCAGTACAGCGCTTGATTGAGACTGCCCGGCAAAACGCCTGACACGGAACGTTAGAGGAAGCATTTGAAAGGGAATGTCCGACATGATCGATGGTTCCAAATCTGTCAACACCGTTGGCGTCGGTGCCAAAACCAGATTATTTCATGGTTTGGCATGGCTCTTAGCTACGAACACTGCCACAACACACACTTCTGCGCAATGGTTCAAGAGTAATGACTATCTACCGTGGCACAGAATGTTGAACAACACATTCTGCCTTGACACCGTCACGCCAGCTGAGCAATCATCAATCTTACGAGGAGGACTTTCAATTCCAAGACTTGTACATCTTCATCCAGCAAACAAACTACAAGTGAAAGACCACTCTTCCATCATTCCGTCCGTCCATCACATCCCGCGAACTCAAATTTTCGAAATTGATGATTTATAATTGGCATTCATTTCTGCTGCGCTGTCTGGATTTCAATAAGTCCCTAGCATTATATTATACAGCTTTTGTTATTCGCTTATATTTGGTACACTGCCATTTACGTCTTATATATGTATGCATTTTTATTAGAGTTACTGACCTTCTGATTGTATGCAACTTTCTTTTTAATACATTTGTTCAATTGCGCTAACTGGATGACGGCCAACAGGGCAAATTTTCTAGTAAACGTTTCGCAAGTTCCAGAACTTTCCACTTTCCATCACGTTCCACTGTAACCTATAATTACAAAGCTCTTATGCATCCAAACTATTTTCAGGGCTCTAATTCAGTATATTGTCTTCGATTGTGACTTTCAGGTCTTCACGATCAGAGCAGTCCGAACAACTGAAGAGCGGTTAGACTTTGGGAATACTACTATACTATAGTAAGGCTGATATAACTCAAAGTTCAACACTTACAATTAAGATGTGCACCGGAGTTGTGGTTCAAAAATGCATGTTTTTAAATAACAATTTCACTGACTGCTTCAAAGCAAAATAACCGTTTTATTCCTGTCTTAGACCGAACCAAACGTTTGACTGTCTTTCATAAGGGGAAGGAAACCGAAGAGGAATAAATGATGTGCATTCCTCAAAAATTACATTAATATTCTGCTTACTGCTGGTACCCTCAGGCAACATGTGTAGACCATCTGGGCTGTTGCGATTCCAAACTTAAATAACTGATACCTATGCCTATACAGGGTGCTGTCTCCTTAATGTTCTAAGCTTGAGATCACTTCCCCCTTGAATTTGCATGCACTAAATGAGCACAAAAACATCGCAGCTAAAATCAGACAAATTCCATAGAATTCACAAAATGCACTAAATGTGAGTTAAAATGTGAATGCTATCGGTAAAACTGCTGCATCCATATAAGCTTATCGATGCCAAGCGAGAAATAATTTGACACGCTATCGCATGTCCCTTTCTCATAAAGTTTTCAGTTATCCCCTATTTGGATCCTTAGACTGTTCTTAAAGGTCGATTTAGCCCAGTTTGGGAAGCAAAGTTTCAAACGTATTTGTTAACTGATCTCGAAATTCAGGCGACGAGCAAAACTCAAGTCTTCTACTCTGGTTCAGAATACACGGTTGAACTGGAATGGACGAGGACAGTTATAGTCAGCTACATGACACAGACTTGATATAACACACATGTAACTCTCACTCTCAACTCTACACCGTCAGAATATTCATTTACCCGGATTTAGTGATTAAGGTAATTACTGGTATTACTGCTCGTGTCTCTGTGCCGATTGACCGAATTATCGCAGCTGAATACCATTAGTTTAACCGGTCAGCATTTCATAGGGTGCCATAGAGTTCAACACGTTCATCGCCAAAGGTTACATTTCCAGGGTCGTTTGCAATGTACGCCGACCATTTAAGATTATTTTACGAGAGATTGGAGGAACTGGAATGAGTGCAGTGACTCGAAGGTTAGCGGTTTTTCGATTATATGGACTATCCCTCATTTCAATGTAGAGATGGTGAATTTCTAAAGCGTGTTGCAATCTAATCAACCGTAGAAAAGAAGTCGTTTTTACTGCATCTCACTCTCAGTCGTTTTATTTGAAAAAATCACTACAGAAATATATGACATCAACATTTTCTGTCTAGTTTCATCCCTAGCCTCTGTTGCCATCTTGGTGTGATGGTCAGATTTACTTTCATATAAAACCACATCAGACAGGCCGCGAGGATCCGCCACTAGCAATGTAAGTGTGCTCAAGGGGTTGTATATGAACTCAATGACTGCTTGGAACTGAAACGTTTGTAAGATGCTACCAGAAGAGTGTGCAGCAGAGTTATGCTTCAGGTTGATGCCATGTTCTCTTCTCTAAGGGTCAGAGTAATCACCTTGAAATAAAACCTAGTCCGAGCGATCAACGCTCAGTCGTGATCACCGGCGTATTCATTCAGTACGGTAGGAAAATTAACAGTACTTCTCCAAAATGTAAAGTAGCTTCAAATGCGTCTGCTATCCACAATTATAACGAAAATTGGAAAATGCTATCGTATTCATCTCGTTCTTGGGTCAGGATGGCTTTTCGTTTCCAAGTTAGTTTGGAGTTTTTCATGTGTTTTCACATGGAGTCTTCAGTAGTGACTCTATATCCCGGTATCTCGTTTGTGTAGCTTTCAAACCAGATGTTGCAGACGGAGTCCATCAGAAGAGTTATTCAGAGTTAGTCTTCCAGATGGACTTTATAGTTTTACTCTCATTCTCTATTTGTGTTTCTAGTTCTTATTTTATGAAGCCTTGGCAGCCAATACACATTGGTTGACGAATAGGTCAACATGCACTTTTTGGGGGAACATTCTTTCAAACCCGGAATTGCGCATGTGCAATCACAGTATTGTCATCAACTTGAATTCGCTATTGGAGAAGATTACTAACCAGCAGTGCTTTCTCGAGGAGTTTGAGTATGACGAAATCGGACCTCGCGGCTAACCTTGATCAATTCTGGTGACTAATCATGTGTGTGTCGTCAGATTGAAAAATTCGGTCGATAGAACCCAAAAAATGCCGTTTATTTGTCACATCTGCATATGTTCAAATGTACAACAGTTCAGATGTCAAGAACATCTTACACGATGAGTTCTTCTATCTTCTCTAATAGGCCAAGTAGATGAACACACTTTTCTTTGCGAAAACACAACTTAGTTGTTTTCTTCTAAGGCAAAGTTGTTGCGTTCGTACATTTGATATTCGGACGTGACACATTGATTATAGAGATCAAGTAATACATTTATGCGCACCTCAAAGACTCTTTTTGTGGAGTTGTACACTCCAGCACAAACAACAGCTCTACCTAGGATAAATATCGTATTGTACAGCTAACCCTTGAAAGAAAACTGATGAAATCACTGTTAGATAATAGTGGTGTCAGCCTTCAAAAAAGAATTGTTTAATTAGGAGTAATTATCTTGACTCGAATCATTCCGCTGTTTGTGCCTACTCGGTTTTATCATTTGCACAAGATCATCTACCTGTACTCACAACAACTAGAATGTACAAAAGCCTACAGATAATCAAACAGCCCAGAATACAAAAACGGACTGATACAAATAAGCTTTAGACAGATATCACAATTGTTAGGCCAATCTCTTACAATGAAGTCTGTCTCACAGAAACACCGCAGCTATGACAAGAGTGAATATTTGGTGCTTCGGAAAACTTCATGAACAAATATCATGACTTCCATTACAATATACACTGTCGTGAACTAGGACGTATAACTACGAAGTGTCTACATAAGGACCGTGGGGCTTAATTGATCGACTGATTCAAAGAGAGAGGGTATAACTGGGTCTCAAGCACCTTGACTCGTGATTGGACTGGTTATCGACAGTTTAGAAGTGCAACTGTGTGCAGAAAAAATGAAGTGAGTATTCGTTCGAAGATCAGTCCAGTTCGGAGCGAGAAATGTGTTGTGCCTTTGAGATACGCTTTTAGGGTTCTAGTGTTGTCCTTCACTTGAATTCCACCACAACTAATGCTGTGGATAACCCTCAGTCTCTGGTGACGACGAGGCGATTGATTTAAGGGTTTTACTGAGATATAAGACACAGCGGAACCTGCTGGACTGGATCCTAGTGTATGGCTGTCCATGTGCCCTCAGACCTAACACTTCAGTCGAAGTCTGTCGACCGAAACCGAAAAGAGATTAGTTATTTGTTATGTTAGTACATGCTCCAACAAACGGTAGCTAAAACAGTGTCGAGAACGCCTTCTACGATGTTCTGTCTGATCGTCTGAGACGACTTAAACACATGGACATCGTTCTGCTTGCTGTTGCTATGACCCCACAACTCGACCATCTTACTCGAGACGAGAAGCAGCTGGGTGGTAAGTTAGATGTCCGCCAGTCAATTGATCGATATACATTCTGAGATTATCTTCATCGTACACAAACCCCGGTTAAGTATGTCAACATTATGAAGTCACTCTATGTTGCTGCACACGCGTTTATGAGATATCATCTTGAGCGTTCTTCACGTCATGTTTTGTTCGATAGGGATGTTCGACCTCCTCTCTCTTTTCAGGTATGTTATAGTCGATATTGTGAGAAAGAACGTTCAGCGTTTCCGTGGATATCGGAGTACAGCCTCAACTAGACTGAGTGTGTGGACGACATTTCTCTGCTTAGTTCTTCTACAGAGAGCATGTAGACCATGTTGGACCGATTTGATGATACGGTT